CGTCTGGGGAGAGGCAGATGCCTGAACAGGCAGATCCTGTCACAGAGCTGAGGCTCAGACGCTGCCCTAAGGTGACTTAGGGGATGCTACGGGAGGACACGTGGAGGCTTCCTGAGGACTGGGAGGAGGTGGGCAGCAGGGAGCTGGGGAGGCTGGAGGGACAGTGCAGGTAAGGCTGAGGACAGTCAGGTGGGCACAAGTCCATGTGTATGACTTGGCAGCAAGACGCAAGGGGAGCCGCTCGGGTGGCCTGCTCAAGTGGAGACCGTGGCATGGATTGCCCAGTTTGGGTCCCCTTAATGCTGGGCTAGGGTTTTCTTTCACACCTGGGAAGTGCCGCTCTACCGTAACCCATCTGTGAGTTTTTCCAGATGAGGAAGCTGAGCTCAGGGGTTAAGTTCTTGGTCTAGGCCACACAGATTTCCATTTGGAGAGATAAGATTTGAATCCAGCCTGTAATCTGGCACTCTGGGAGGCTGAGGCAGGAGAATTACAAATTCATGCCCAGTTTTGGCAACTTTGTGACTTAGTGAGATCTTCTCTCACAATTAAAAAGTAAGCAAGTAAATAAATAGCTGGAGATATATATAGCTCAGTGAGAAGACCCTGGGCTTGATCTGATCTCAAGTACCAAGGAAAAAAAAGGCTTGAACCCAGACCTGGACCTCAGATCACACTGTGACGTTTACTCTGCTGTGTCTGTTTTGCAAGGGCAATATTTGCAGGTCATTCCCCTTTTTTCCTCTAGTCCTGTGACCAGTCCAGGTGATGAATCCTAGTGTGAGCCTGTGTCTGTTTCTTTTCTTTTTATTCTTTTTTTTTTTTTTTTTTTTTTTTTTGGTACCGGGAATTGAACTCAGGACCTTGCACTTCTCAGGCAGGCACTTGTGCCAGTGAGGTATGTCCCCAGCCTGGCCTGTGTTTCTGGTCTCTGGTTCCTAATAACTTTATCCCCTGGGTTTGGGCCAGAGCTGACAATCCTGCCTGGGAGAGTGGTTCTGGGGTGGGGGTGGGGGAGGGACCTTGCTGATCCTCTGACTAGAGATCCATTCTCAGTTTTTCCTGTAAATGGCAAAGTGCCAGCCTGTTAGCCCTGTGTCCTTCAGTCCTTCTCCTCTCAGTGGTCTTTTCTTCCCAAAGCATGCTCCCAGCTCCTAGCTTGTCAGGGTGGTGGCGGGTTCCCTAGCTGTGCATGCAGGGCTCCGGTGGCAAGGTTCTTTACCCCCTCTCCCCATTCTTAGAATGGGGTGCTCACTGCCCGTTTCCAGGTTGGCTGAGAGCTGGCCTGGTGTTGAGAAGTGAATGGGACATGGTTTTGCTATCTCTGAGGGCGCAGCCTTTTAAGGATCTGGGTGATGGCAGGCCTGCTGCTGGTAGCTGGTTTCCCTCGCAGGACTGCTGGCCAGCTTGTGGGCTGTTGGGATGCTGAGCCTTGGGGCAGCTCAGCTGGTTGCCCCTGGAGGCCCTTCCAGGGCCCCTGTATCCTTTGCTCCATTTCTAGGTTCTTGGGAGCCAGCAGAGATAAAGAAGGGTTGGCAGGTAAAGCAGCAACCTGGCAGGCAGAGCTGTGTTTGGAGGGACAGGAGCAGCAGTAGGAACAGGGGAAGCTGTGGCGCAGTCTTGTGTGGGCTGGGGAAGGGGCTGGAAGCCCCCTGAGGGGGCGGCTGGTGTCAGAAGCTGGGAACAGCACACCAAGTGAGAAAGCAGAGGTGATGGAGGAGGGCTGGCAGGAGAAGCAGAGGCAGTGTGCGTTTCTAATGGGGACCTTTCTCAGTTACAATTTCCCCTTCCTTTTGCAGCCAGTCATGGTTTTCAAACGGTCTCTGAAAACCAGTGGCAGCCACTTCCGCTTTCTTGAAGTTGCTGAAAGTTGTGAGGGTGGGGGTGGCGGGGTGTGTGGTGCTTGCCTGAGTGAATGATCTGAGGAAAAGTACCAGAGTCCCTTGGCAAATGTCAAGCGTCTGTCCTGTTTTTCTGTTTTGAGTACTGTTGGCCTTGGGGTAGCGACTGTGTCCTGCTTGTCCTGCTCAGGAGTGTCGGACACAGTCTCGGGGATGGTCTAGAGGGTCCTGCTGAATCTGAATCACCTGCTTATTTCAGCTTATCTCACAGCTGAGGAAACAAGGCTCGGAGGAGCCACGTGCCCAGCCAGGCTCACCAGTTAAGAGAGCAAGCACGGGGGATGGGAATTTGGCTCAGCGGCACGTGCCTGCCTGGCAAGCGTAAAGTCGTGAGTTCGATTCTTGGTACTGGAAAAAAAAAAAAAAAAGAGTGAGCATGCGTGCAGCCTCCCTCTTGCTGATGCCCAGGGTGCAAGTTGAAGATGGTGCTTGGAGCTGTGGGGTTCAGTGGGGGCCTGGCTTGTGGGAATTTCTGTGGTGTATCACAGCCTTGGAAGATGCAGAGTCCTGGCTCTGCCTCTGGTGCTCTGTGCTGTTCTCCTGTGGGTTCCTTTTCCATATGCATTTGTTTTATTTATGTTATGTCATGTTATGTTATGTCATTTTGTCTTTTTGAGACAGGGTCTCGCTATGCAGTTCGGGCTGGCCTTGAGCTCACTTTGTAGCCCAGGCTGGTCTTGAACTTGCAGCGACTCTCCTGCCTCAGCCTCCCGAGTGCTGGGATGACAGGCGTGCGCGCCCCGCCCGGCCATCTGGGTTCCTTTTCCGAATGGGACTCTGTTGCCGAATGAGAGCACTCAGAGTTCTTCCCCTTGTCCTGGTGTGCAGGAGATGAGGTACTGCAAGTGTGGGTCCCTGGGCTTCCCTCAGGTGTTGGCTTGGTGTCCCTGCCTGTCCCCATGAGGTCCTCTCTGCTGTGCAGAGCTTAGGAAGAGGTGACCTGTGAGCTCTCAGAGCAGAGCCTTGTGGGCCTCAGCCCTGCCGCCTAGCTGGCACCTTGGCAGTGCTGGGGTGGTTGGGACATAGTACAGGGCCTGGGCCTGACCTCAGAAAATGGTGGCTGTGGGCAGCTTTTGTTTCTTTGGTAACAGTTTTAATTGAGATACAATTCATGTGCCATAGAATTAATCCGTTTAAAGCGCACAGTTTAGTGGTTTGTAGTACATTCACAACTTTCTGGAGCTATTGCCACATTCAATTTATTTTCATTTTCTCACACATTTTAGAACATTTAAAAAAACACATTCTTTTTTTTCAGAGAAGAGACTCTGAAGAGGCTGGCCAGCAGTAAAAATCTTTTGCCTTTCACGTTTAAAAACCAAAACAGAACTGTTCCTTGTCCCCGCAAGTCCCTGAAAATCTCTGCTCTCTGTCTCTGTGGATCTGCCTGCTGCCAGTTCATATACATGGGCCTACACAACTTGTGGCTCTTTGTGCCTGGCTTGTTGTGGGGCTCAGGCTGCTGTGTGACCTGCTGGCCTCCCATGTAGAAGGAGGCTTGCATTGACCAGCTCAGCCTCATGGTACTTCCCGCTGCCTGGGCTGTGGGCGGAAGTCAGCAGTCGTGATTAATTTGGCAGTTGTCCCTTGAGATTACTGTGGTCCCAGGTACACTCAGGCCAGGAAACATCCCCACCCCACCCCCACTGTCAGTGTGCTTTGAGTCGGGTCACTGAGTCACCTTGGCTAAGCCTCAGTTTCCTCATCCGTGGCAGGGAGGCTTATCTGTGACCAGATGCCTGGTCCTCATCACCAAGGGGGATAGGAAAGTAGGGAAGGATCCCAGAGGAGGTCTAATGCACCCCGCTCCCCGAATTGGGAGTTCCGTTCTGCTGTGCACCGAGCTTGTTTCCTCCTCCTTGTGCCAGGAGCTGGAGTCTGCCCTTCCCGGGGACAGGCTGTCCCTGGGTGATCTCACACCTCTCTGCCCAGCCTCCCTCCTGTGGCTGGGAGGAGACAGGCCCCAGGGCAGGGAGAGGTTTCACGTTATTGACTCCCTGACCTTAGAGGGCCCTCGAGGCAGCGTGGTTTGGAGGTGAGTGTGTCCTCCAGCTCACACTTGTGAGCAATTAGTGCCTAGTCCAGGTTCTGTGCCTGGGCTGCCCGCAGGCTCCCATGGGAGCCTAGCAAGGAAGATTCTGAAGCACAAACCTTGGAGTCCACACTGGGTATGGGAGCAACACTGCCCAGCAGTAGAGATGTTCCAGACAGCGGGAAGTGCCGGCCAGCTGCCACAGTCACATGCCAGGGAGCCGCCATGGAGCAGTAGACAGAGTTGGGGCTCCTGGGCTGGGCTGCCTGGGGAAGCCTCCCTACAGAGTGCTTTGCAGAACATCCAAAGGATGAGAAGAAACTAATATCGAGACAGAGCACTGAGGTGGACCCAAGCTTTTATTGCTCTAGAACAGCAAGCAGGCTGGCTTGGCTGGCGCAAGTGCGAGCGTGGCTAGGGTGGCTTTCCCGCTGATACTGGGCGCAGGAGGCTATGCAGAGGAATGACTGGAGAGGCAGCGAGGTGTGGGTGGGCTCAGGTGGGGCAGGGAGGTGTCAGCAGTGCCTGGATGGTGCCCGTACCAGGTTGGAGAATGGCTGGGTGGGCAGAGGTAGGTCATGCTGGTCCAGCTGCACTGTCAGGGTCATGAGCCCATGGCAGAGTCTTCGAGTGGTCCCCCTGCCACAGGAGTGCACAGAAGAGAGGGAGTCTCCTGCTGCGGTGCTGGTGCCAGCTGGCCTGGCCCTGGCTGCAGGTGAGGCAGGGATGGGGGGCAGCCAGGACCTCCGGAGCCACAGCCGGTCCCGTTCTGTGCCGAGCACAGCCCTGTCCCAAGCCTGGGGGCAGCAGTTGCTCAGGTCGCTGGTGGGCAGCCTGGATGGACTGCGGAGGCTGTGCAGAGGGGAGCTGCACCTGAAGGACAGGAGAGGAAGAGACCAAAGGGCTCTGAGAGAGGGACCGGCGTCTGCAGACCTCAGCATGGGCACCCCAGCCCCCTGGGGCAGAAGCGGCCTGTGAGGCGCTCGGATGCTGCCCGCTGGCCGTGGCTCGGTTTCCCTGTGCCGTGTGGCGGGGTGATGACGGTTCAGTGGGGCTGTGGGGCTTGGCTATGGTGTGCGCAGGGCATATTGGTGAGCAAGCAGCCACGAGACCAGGTTGGGGCTGCTGTTGATGGTTTCAGAAGCCTTGTGGGACTTTTTCTTTTGTTTTTGCTCAGACTGTTGTCAAACTTGCTGTGCTGCCCAGGCTGGCCTTGAGCTAGCAATCCGCCTGCCTCAGCCTCTCTAGTGCTGGGATTATAAGTGTGGGCCATCATGCCCACCTCCTTGTAGGGTTTGTACGAGGAACAATGCAACAGTGTTGGATGGCAGCTTGGGACGACACCACCCATCCTCTGTTGGTACAGTGTATGCCTCTCCCGTCACCAGTGAGTTACCTGTGACGGGGGCTGAGGGGCCCAAGGTTAGCAGCTCACTGTGCTCCTCTCTAGGCTGACAGCCCTGTCCCCAGCCTGAGGCTGTTCTGGGAGCCGCCCTGCCCTGGCCTGGGTGTGTGGTGCTGAGAGGGTGGTTGGGGTGTGTTTGTGTGTCTGGTGTCCAGGCAACGGCCACAGCCTCAAGATGCGCAGACTTCCTCTCTTCCCCCTGCTGCCTCCCCACACCCCGCAGCGGCGGCCTGGATGATTTACTGGGCTGGGCAGCCGCTGTGCACCAGAGGTCATGGGGCATTTGAATTTGTTCGGCAAATACAGGTTGAAGTGAGTCTGAGGCCAGGAGTTCAAGCCGTGTCCCTGGAATATCCCTGTCAGTATAGAGCAGTGAGCCCAGACTGGTGGGGGCAGGAGCTGAGGTCACTCTTTACTGTGGCTGGCCTCTCCTTTCAGACGCTTCGTGGTTCCCATTGAGGACTTCACCAGGCCTGGGGTCGAGGGCAGACAGAGGTTCTCAGGAGATGGCTTGAAGGCTGAGGTGGTGGGGTGAAGGTCCCTGGAGTTCAGTGGGCACATCCAGCATGTGTGAGCTGGGACACGCCAGCAGGGGCCAGACTTGCCCTGCGGGTGGAGCTGGGCTGGCGCCTGCAGCAGAGCACCTAGGGGTTGCGTGTGACATGCAGACTGTGCCCTCTGCCTGTAGGGCGCCATGTTTTGGAAGTTTGACCTGCACACAAGCTCGCACCTGGACACGCTGCTGGAGCGGGAGGACCTGAGCCTGCCCGAGCTGCTAGATGAGGAGGACGTGCTGCAGGAGTGCAAGGTTGTCAACCGAAAGCTGCTGGACTTCCTGCTGCAGCCACCGCACCTGCAGGCCATGGTGGCCTGGGTCACCCAGGAGCCTCCGGCCAGTGGTGAGGAGCGGCTGCGCTACAAGTGAGTCCTCCGCCCGCCGTGCACTGCGGAGCCTGGGTTGGGGCTGGGATGCTGAGGCAGGGATTGCCCTCCCGGGTTTCCACAGTGCCAGGTGCAGACTCCACTGTGCTCTGTGTCATGGTTCTTTAGAAAGCTCGGTGGGGCGGGGTTCTGCAGCACTGGCGGTGTCTTCTGCAGCCCGCCGCGGAGGCGTGTCTTGCCGGTGTCATTTCACTTGTCAGTCGTCACCCTGCTTCTTTTCCTAGTGTGTGGTGTTTTTTTTTGTTTTTGTTTTTGTTTCTTTTTTGGTTTGTTGTTTTTCAGGCAGTACTTGAAATTCACGTTTCTCCTGCCTCGGTCTGCTGGATACTGAGATTGTAGATGCAAACTACCATACCGGGGTTTTTTTTTCCCGGTTGAAGTCTTTGTCGGGATGAGTGTGCAGTCGTAACACAGGTGTAGGAAATAATAGATCCTGAGCCCTTGCTGGCCACTACCCCCCGAGTGGTGACATTTTGCAAAATTACAGTAGGGTGGGTACAGGGTACCCAGCAGTGGTTCAGACGCGGCCCCGTGTTCTGTGACTCACTTGTGTGTGTGGAGTTATTCTCACCTTCAGAGGCTCGTGTGTCCACCCCGAAGTGACATCCAGAACACTTCTGTCACCATGGCTCACAACCACACCCGCCATCCGCACACCTCCTCTCTGACCCTTAGCGGCCATGTCTGTCCCCAGTTATGCAGTGATTTTTGTTTGTTTGGTGCTGGGAAATGAATTGGGCTTCATGCATGCTAGGCAGATGGTCTCACCTCAGCCCTACTTGTATGGTTCTGTCATTTGAACAGCGTTACAAAATGCGTCACGCAGTGGGGACCTTTTGGGAGTGGCTGTTTCCCAGTGTAATTCTCTGGAGACTCATTCCAGCCCTGGTGGAGAAAGGTCACTGTCTCTCCCTCACTGAGAGAGGGTAGCAAGGCTGTACCAAGACCGCCCCTGACGATGCCAGGCCCGGGTGCTCCCCACAGCAGCCCCTGTGGCAGGCTGTGTCTGCCCTTTGTCGTTCTCTGTTATGTTAGCTTCGTGCAAGGAGCCTCAGAGGCTCCTTCTGCCAGTGCTTCGCTTCTTGGGGGGAGGAGGGGTGCGGTCTGGGTGCTGGTCCTGGGAAGTGCGCGGGGCTGTGCCTAGGGCTATGTGGGGGCCTGGGAGCATGGTGAGGGTCTCCTGGGCTCGGGGTGTTCCTCATCCCCAGTGCCCATGGTCGTGGGGGCTCTGCGAGGCCGTGCCAGCAGTGCTCCTGTGCCTCCTGATACTTGCCAGAGGCCCTCCCACCGCCTGGCCCCTCTCGGCCCAGGTGTCCATTCACACTCACTTCATCTGCGTCCCGTGGGCGGTGGGCTGGGCTCTTTCCTTCATGGTACTGGGGAGTGGAACCCAGGGCCTTGCTCTGCCAGGCGAGCACTCCACCACTGAACTACAACCCCAGTCCTTTGTTTCTGAGGCAAGACTTGCTAAGTTGCCCAGGCTGACATTGATCTAGGAGTCTTCCCTCACCCTTCCAGGTAGCTGAGATGACAGGTGTGCACTGTCTACCTGGCTGTCCCCATCTCGCCACCTGTGCCCTGCTGGTACCTGCCCTGCCCCAGGGAGTCTAGTTGTGGGGAGGGGCACCTGAGATGCCTTCCAGAGTTTGTGGTTTAAACCCAGAGCAGACTGCGGTCCCGTAGGGCACCCTGGGTACAGCAGCTCTTCACTTGGGTTGTTGGGCTCCTTGTGTCTGCAGAAGGGAGGCAGGGACATGAAATGGGAGGTTCGGGAAGGTTGCCCTGGGCATGGAAGCTCAGATGGTGACCCAGGAGCATCACTGAGCTGGGGCAGTGCGTGGGCCAGACACCAGGAGAGCCAGGAGGGGCAGGGTGGGAAGTGAACCCGAGGCCAGGCTCAGTCCATGCCGTCTGGGGTGGTGGCTACCGAGGCTACTTGGGGAGGCTAGGGACGGCGTGGGAGAAGAGCTGGGCGGGGTGAAGAGTCCTGCTCTGTCCCTGTGCTGTCCTGCCAGGTACCCCAGTGTGGCCTGTGAGATCCTCACCTCAGACGTGCCCCAGATTAACGATGCCCTGGGTGCAGACGAGTCCCTCCTGAACCGGCTCTATGGCTTCCTGCAGAGCAGCGACAGCCTCAACCCGCTGCTGGCCAGCTTCTTCAGCAAGGTCATGGGCATCCTCATCAACCGCAAGACAGACCAGGTGTGCTTCCCTCTCCACTGGGGTGGGCATGGGGCCGGGGGCTGGGCCTGTGTGTGACTCGGCTCTCTGCCTCTAGCTCGTGTCTTTCCTGCGCAAGAAGGACGACTTTGTGGACCTGCTGCTGCGGCACATCGGCACCTCAGCCATCATGGACCTCCTGCTGCGCCTGCTTACCTGTGTGGAGCGGCCCCAGCTGCGGCAGGATGTTTTCACTGTGAGCTAGGTCCAGTGGGGCTGGGTGGGTGGGCATGGGGCCGGGCACCCACCATAGCCCCTGCGTTCTTGTCCCCAGTGGCTCAATGAGGAGAAGATCGTCCAGCGGCTGATCGAGCAGATCCACCCATCAAAGGATGACAATGTGAGTGCCGGGGCGTTCCCTGCTGCCTTCACCCCCGCACCCTGTCCTGTACACATCCTTTAGCAGACAAGCCCCTGCCCTGGCTTCTGCCCCATATGTGCACACGCTGTGCAGGCACATGGGGGCACTGACCCTGAGCATGCATACCTTTCCGTATACACTGAGCTGTGTGCAGGCTGAGCGGCCCGCTGCGTCACCCTGAGTCCCGGGAGGGCATGGTGGGAGGCCGAGCACTGCCCACTACCTGCTGGGTTAGGCTCAGTGCTCTATTTTACTTTATTCTTTTGCCCTTTTTAAACATAGCTTCCTTGAGATGTTAATGATGTACTGACCACCGTAAGATTATAATTCAGTAGTTTTCCGTGTATTCACAGTGTCCTGTGATTGTTACCACCTCAGAGTTAAAATACTTTCCACGTTCCCAGCGAGAGGCCGTGGCCATTGGTGGCTGTTGACACAGTCACCGCCCGTGTCCCTGTAGCCAGGCCACTCTGTCTCTGCAGTTGGCCACTTTGCACACTTTGTATAAGTAGAAGCATGTGCTGCCTCATCTGTGCCTGGTCTCTTCCCTTGGCTTGATGTTCCTTGATCCATCCTCAAGCTGAGGATGTAGCTCAGTAGGAAGCACTTGCCTGAGGCCCTGGGCTTGGTCCCAAGCACTGGGGGAAAAAGGTTTATCCTCAGGTGGCAGGGGCAATGGCTTATTACTTTTCCTGGCTGAGTAATACTCCCAGCATGGGCAGACCATGCTTTACCCTTCAAGGTGACAGCTGCTGACACCGTTGTACATGGTGCTGTGTGTGTGTGGATGTCTCCACTGAAAACCCTTGGTGCCTCTGTGCTCTGTCTTGGCAGCACATGTCCCTGTCTGTGTGACTGCCCTTCTCTGTCCCTTCTGGGGGCCCTGACCTGTCTTGCCCTCCCCAGCAACATTCCAACGCGTCTCAGTCTCTGTGTGACATCATTCGCTTGAGCCGGGAACAGATGATGCAAGGCCAGGACAGCCCGGAGCCCGACCAGCTGCTGGCCACTCTGGAGAAGTGGGTTTGTGGGCTGCCTGGGCAGGGAGGGGTCTGTCTCAGGAGCCGGGCCGCTGACGGCGCTGCCCCCACCCCAGGCAGGAGACCATTGAGCAGCTGCTGAGCAACATGTTCGAGGGGGAGCCGAGCCAGTCTGTCCTGGTCAGCGGGATCCAGGTGCTGCTCACTCTCCTGGAGCCCAGGCGGCCCAGGTGAGGCTGTGGCTGGGATGGCCCCTGTTCTGCCTGTGCGGCTCCTGCCAGTCAGGGCGGTGCTGAGACTCCTGTTGCACTGAATGCTGGGCAGGGTGGGTTTGGCGGCATCAGATTCCAGGCCCAGCCCTCAGGCCTCCCTGGGCTGCATCAAGCCCCCACCCCATACCGCACCCGCACTGCTGGCTTTGCTCGAGATGAGTCCTCAGCATAGCCAGGCACTGGGTGCAGGCCCCTGGGCTCACTACCTTGTCTGGGCCGCCACAGGTCGGAGTCCGTGACCATGAGCAACTTCTTCAGCAGCGTGGACGGGCAGCTGGAGCTCCTGGCCCAGGGGGCCCTGGATAGTGCTGTGTCCAGCATGGGCGCCCTGCATGCCCTGCGCCCACAGCTTGCCCACTTCCACCAGCTCCTGCTCGAGCCTCTTCAGGTAGGGGACTTGGGGTCCGTGTTCCAGAGGGGAGGTGGAAGTGACAGGGAAGGCAGCCTGCACGAGCTGAGTGTCCCTTGCCCCCGCAGCTGGAGCCACTGCAGATGACGTGGGGCAGCCTGGCCCCGCCCCTGGGGAACACGCGGCTGCATGTGGTCAAGCTCCTGGCCAGCGCCCTGAGTGCCAATGATGCCGCCCTAACACAGGAGCTCCTGGCGCTGGACGTCCCCAACACCATGCTGGTACAGGGGTGGGCAGCAGGCCCGGGGCATGGGTGGCAGGTGCTGTGCATGTCTGGTGCCAGCCTGTGTCCCCTCCCCAGGACCTCTTCTTCCACTATGTGTTCAACAATTTCCTGCACACGCAAGTGGAGGTGTGTGTGAGCACCATGCTGAGCTTGGGCCCCCCTCCCAACAGCAGCTCTGAGACACCAGGCCGGAACCCTGTGCTGAAACATGTGAGCACTGCCTTCCCTGCAGGCTGCCCTATCTCCTTCCGCAGCTGTGTGTGCATGTGTGTGTGTGTGTGTGTGTGTGTGTGTGTGTGTGTGTGTGTACACTCCATGCGTGGAGCAGCCAGTGCTCTCTGCTGGGGAGATGGGGAGCAGGTGGTAGGAGCCACACTTGGGCACAGCAGGCGCCATTCTGCCCTGCTCTTGCCTGTGTGCAGCTCAGGGCCTGACACCTGACGTGGCCCGTACTTACTACAGGAGGGTCCCGAGTCCTAGCTGCCCAGGTGTGTAGGCCCCAGCCAACACTCTTGCCTCCACAGCTGCTGCAGCACTGCCGCCTGGTGGAGCGGATCCTTACGTCCTGGGAGGAGAACGACCGTGTCCAGTGAGCGCCTGCTGCCTCTGAGTGGGATGGGGAGCATGGCCTTGGCTGGGGCAGCCTTGGCATCCAGCGTGGCACCCACCTGTGGCCTTGCTCTCTGCAGGTCTGGAGGTGGCCCAAGGAAGGGCTACATGGGCCATTTGACCCGGGTGGCCAATGCCTTGGTGCAGAATGCGGAGCAGGGGCCGAACGCTGAGCAGCTGGGGCAGCTGCTGAAGGGTGAGGCGCGGGGACACAAGGGGTAGGAGGCGGGCCGAGCTGGGCAGGCGCCTCACTGTCCCCTCCTCCGCCGTGTGCAGAGCTGCCAGGTGAGCAGCTGGAGCGATGGGAAGTGTTTGTGTCAGGACCCCTAGCCGAGACCAACAAGAAGAACACCGTGGACCTGGTAAGGCTTGGTGTCCCCCGCGAGCCCTCTCCACCTTCCCCATAGCCACTTGCTTTGGCCTGGCTGTGGCCATAGTCGGCCCTGAACCCTAGCCTGTTCTGTTCCAGGTGAACACCCATCACCTGCACTCCTCTAGCGATGATGAGGACGACCGGCTCAAGGAGTTCAACTTCCCCGAGGAGGCCGTGCTGCAGCAGGTGGGCGGGCTGCTTGGGGTGTGCGGGCTTGGGTTGTGTGGGTGTGGGGTGTGCGTGCCCTTCCTGTCCAGCTCCCCCAAGCCCTGCCTCTGTGCCCATCACAGGCCTTCATGGACTTCCAGATGCAACGCATGACCTCCGCCTTCATTGACCACTTCGGCTTTAACGACGAGGAGTTTGGGGAGCAGGAGGAAAGTGTGAAGTGAGTGCCCCGTGCGAGGCTAGCTCTCCCCGGCTTGTGTGTCCCTGTGCGAGGTTGGGCACTGTCTGCACTGGGATGCGGCTTCTGGGCATGTTTGGCTGTGGCCTTGGGTGCTAGACGGAGCCCCAGCTCTGCAGAGCCCTCATCCTGAAGAAGGCCCTAAGGAGGGGCACAGGCATCCCCCGTGCTAGGGGGGATGCAGAGCAGGTCTCACCCCTGGAGAGAAGCAGGCAGCGGAGGGCAGTGCCCCAAAGACCATTTGTGAGGAGTAATCACCGGACAAGAAGACACTGCTACCACGGGCAGGCCCCAGGGGGTCCCTGAAGCCAGACCAGAGGGGAGCAGGTACAGAGGCTGGCGGGGGCACGGCCAGCACCCACCATCTCTTGGGTGCCATGTGCTTTCATCGTCATGCCCATGGCTGCTGCTCGATGGGCGTGCGATCTGTGTACATCAGGGAGGCTGAGGCGGATAGAGCTGGTCAGCGTGAGGTAGCGCAGGGAGAGGGGTTGGTGACAGGCTGCTGGCAGCTGTGGCTCGGCCTGGGCCCTAGCCTCACCCAGCACTGGTCTTGTTGGTCCAAGGCGTGGTGAAGTCAACCTGCCCTACTCAAAGGCAGGCTGAGTGTGACGGGCGCATGGCGCTGGGCGTGAGGGATAAAGGATCTCTTCAAGAGAAAGTGAGCAAGCAGAACCTGGCCGTGTGGAGCTGTGACCGTGGAGTGGCGGGCGTGCAGTGCTGCCTGGTGGGGCTGTCCTGCAGGGGGAGCCCTTCCTGGGGATGCCCTGCCTTGTGCTGGCTGTGCCTGGGGCCTGGGCTTCAGCCTTACTCTGTCTCTCATTTGGGAGGAGACCCTGATGCTGCCCTTAGGGGTATGAACTGAGCAGTGTGTGTGTGGCTGCCCTGTGTGTAGTGCAGCGTGTGGCACAATTCCGTAATGGCTCCTTCGGTTCTGCTGGGAGTGGGTGCCAGGGTCTCGTCCTCCCCCAGGTGGCTGCAGGGCGTGATGACGTGGGGACTGGGGTTACGGAGACTCCTGGTGGGGCTTGCACACAGGAGTCTCGCATGCGAGGCTCAGCTGTGTGCTGCGGGAGGGGGCGTGTTCTCACTGCACACTCACCCCTCTCCTAGTGCCCCTTTCGACAAGACAGCCAACATCACCTTCTCCCTCAACGCTGATGACGAGAATGTGAGTGCTGCTGCCCTGGGCCCCAGTGGGTGGAGGGTTGTGAGGACCTGGAGGTCTGTGGGGACCGCAGCAGCACAGCCCGCCCTGTGCCCGCAGCCCAATGCCAACCTGCTCGAGATCTGCTACAAGGACCGCATCCAGCAGTTCGACGACGACGAGGAGGAAGAGGATGAGGAGGGCCACGGCTCCGGGGAGTCAGATGGAGAGTATGGAGCCTGGCAGGGCAGCCAGCTGACCAGGGCAGCCCGCTTGGGCCACCCCCCCGGGGTGCGGTGAGTCCCCCAACCTCTCATCTGTGAGCTGCCCCCGCACATATGGGGTGCGGGGACTCTGGATGGAAGCGTGGGAGCGAACTGGGAAGGTGGGTTGGTGCCCGCGCGTGTGTGGTAGGGCACTTCCGGTTTTCAGTGATGGAAACCTACAAAGCAGAAGACAGCCTGGGAAGTGGTGCTCCTCCGCCAGTGTGCGACTGCTCCCCTGACAAGCTCTCCTGTGGGTTCCCCCAGGCTTGGGCTGCCCTGTGCCGAGATTCCAAGAGCATGTTGCACCCACTCAGGTTGGGTTGCAACCAGCTCGTTCTAATACTGCTTTTGCTTTTCTAGAAACTTTAGATGCACTCATGCCATGTAGGTTTGCTCGTGTGAGCGCTGGCTTGTGCCTGCAACCCAGACCTTTGCTCCATGCCTTGATTTGGAGAGCAGTGGGTCTTGTATTAACTTCTAAGTGGTAGGTGAAACCCTCATGGTGCAGCGCCCAGGCTCAGGAATGGGAGTATCCACTTCCCATGGTGCCCTCTGCTGGCCCCTGTCCTGACACCCTGTCCCATAGAGCAATGTGTCTGTCCCGCCGCCGTAATCCTGCAGTACAGGTTGAGTGTTACTGAAGTGCTTGGGACCTTTCTCATGAGGGGTGCTCACTTGTGTCTCCTTTTGTGTCTGGCCCCTTTGGCCCACACCCACCCTAAGACCTGCCTCGTGGTTGGTGCTTGGACTTAAGTTGTGTTGCGCCGTGGCAGGTACCCCATTGTATGACTGACCTGCTGCTTTGCTGGTTTGTAGTGGACAGACTTTGGACAGGTTCCCGCTTGCCATCGTGAGGGTTTCGTTCCATGCTGAGGTTGTTACATACCGTGTGAGTAGCAGTCAGCATCACCCTTCTTTGTGTGTGGGTGGCCAGCTTCCTCAGCACCATTTGTCTTAGAGATGCTCTGTTGAATGGTCTTGGCGCCCTTGTAAAACATCATTTGGTCCTGTGTGTCAGGGTATCTTTTTGTTCCTCTATTCTGTTCTGCTAGGCTGTCTTATACCAGTATCACAATATCTTGTAGTCAGTTTTTAAATTAGGAAATAATGAGTCGGAACCCTTGTTCTTCTTTTTCAAGATTGTTTTGACTGGGATTCCTGAATTTTACAGTCAGCTTGTCAGTATCAACAGGGAAGCCAGCTGGGGTTCCAGTATGAATTTGGGCAATGACTCAGGGGCAGTTTGGGTAGTGCTGCTGTTTTATAGTATATTTTCACTCCAGACCCATGAGTATAGGGTGCTGTACTATTTATTTAGGTCTTCAATTTCTTTCCACAGTGTTTTAATGGTTTTTTTTTTTTTTTTTTTTTTTTCTGGTACTGGGAAATGAACTCACGACCTTGTGCTTGCCAGGCAGGCGCTGTGCCGCTGAGCTAAATCCCCAGCCCCTTGATGTTTTTATTTATTTATTTATTTTTATTTTATTTTTGGGTATGGAGAATCGAACTCGGGACTTTGCAGTTGCCAGGCAGGCGCTGTGCCACTGAGCTATCTCCCTGGCCCTGTTTTTATGTTTTAAGACTATTAGGTTTGTACTACTTTTGTTAAATTTATTCTTAAGTATTTTATTCTGTTTGATGCTATCCTATGTTTTTTTTTTGGTTTTGGTTTTTCTCCGGTACCGGGAACCGAACTCACGACCTTGCGCTTGCCAGGCAGGCGCTTTTGCCGCTGAGCTAAATCCCCAGCCCCTTTTTTGGTCTTTTTTGAGACAGGGTCTCCTTATGCAGTTCAGGCTGGCCTTGAGCTCACTTTGTAGCCCAGGCTGGTCTTGAACTCGCAACGATCCTCCTGCCTCAGCCGCCCGCGTGCTGGGAACGATCCTCCTGCCTCAGCCTCCCGTGTGCTGGGATTACAGGCATGCGCCACCACGCCCAGCTGTTTGATGCTATTCTAAATGGAACTTTGGGGCAGAGTGGTGTACACCTGTAAGCCCAGCTACATGAGGGGCTTAAGTGGTGTAATCAAAAATTCCAAGGCCAGCCTGGACAGCATAGACTCCATCTCAGAAAAAAAGGCAGAAGATCATGTCATCTGTGGATAAAGGTGGTTTTACCCTTTCCCAGTGCAGATGCCTTTGTCTCCTTTTCTTGTGTGACTGCCCTCAAGTCAGAGGGCAGAAGTGGCAAGAGCAGCAGGCCTTGGTCTTGCTCCTCATCTTGGGGCATCCAGCCCCTCATCACTGACGTCTGCTTGTGGTCAGAGTTTGACTAGATGCCTCACAGGCCATGGAATTCCTTCTTTGTTCAGTGGTTGAATGTTGTAGTTGTATTTTATTTACTTACAGTTTGTCTTTTTTAGACAGGGTTTCACCTATGCAGTTCAGGCAGGCCTTGAACTCACTTTGTAGCCCAGGCTGGCCTCGAACTCGAATCATCCTCCTGCCTCAGTCTACCAAGTGCTGAGATGTAGTTGTATTTTAGATTGTACACAGATAAACTTCTTTCCAATTAATCAGTAACTGGTTGAAAAGGCATAGATGCAAGAATTTAGAAACATTCGGGTCAGCTCTCTGTATCTAAGTTCCACCTCTGCAGATGCAGCCAGCTGTGGCCCAGAGAGAACTGGGAAGAAGTCAGTCGCTTTAAACATGTGCAGATGCTTTCCTTGTGGTTGTGCTGTACAGTACGGTATAGCCACTGTTACGCTGCATTCGCTGTTATGGGTGGATGGTTGAGTATACGGGAGGAAGTGTGGATCCTGTGCAGCTCCTGCATCGTTGTATAGAGGGGTTGGGTACCCACAGGGTTCCGTCCCCACATTTCCTGTGGGTAGTGAGGGTGGCTCTCGTTGGCTGAACTGTTCCCCGGTCAGTGGATATACAGGTGGTGAGGGTTTCTCCACTGTCACCGGTCGTGTGTTTGTCACTGTTCAGCTAGTCACTGTGTGTGGTGGTGCATGCCTGTAACCCCAGCGCTCGGGAGATGTGAGGCGGGAGGATCACCGTAGCTTCAAGCCACCTGGGGCACCATAGTGAGATCCTGTTTCAAAAACCATAAACCAAAGTTGAACTAGTGTTTTTGGAGCAGCTATAATGCAGATGTCATTCTCACGGCTGAGCATGTGCCAGTGACAAGAATCATGTGTCTCTACTTCCTGGAGTTTCCGAGGATGGCCCTGGGGAGGGAGCCTGTGGGGTAGGTGGTGCTGGGGACAGGCACAGGTGACTCAGGCCTGGGCTCTGTCTGTGACCAAGTCCTGGTGCGCTGCCTGAGGGGCCGTCCTGCCGTGAAGGTGAAAGTAGGGATGCGGTGCCCAGGGTCCCCCACCTGGCCCCTCTCCCAGCGTCATCCTCCCCCTGGGCTCCCTGGCCTCCCTGTGGTGACCCCCAAGTCCGTCCCTGTCCCTTTGCGCCATCGTCTCTGCCTGGCCCTGGGCTGCAGTGGGTCTGTGGCTGTCCCCGTGTGAATGCCTGATGAGGTGCTGTCCGGGGCAGGAGTGCAGGCAGCACTGACAGTGAGGAGGAGGAGGACGAGGACGAGGACGAGGAGGAAGAGGAGGGCGGTGGCCCCTCCATCCCCAGCTCTGGGCCTCAGCCTCCTGGTGAGTGTGGGCACTTGTGGACAGGGCCTGGTGTCTGCCTGCCCTGAGCTCACCCTCTGTCCCCACCCCACTGCCCAGGCCCGAGCTGGACAGCTACCTTCGCACCAGTGCCTGTGGACGCCCTGCCAGGCCCCTGCGACTCCAGGGCGGCGGAGCTGCTGCCCCCTGCCCAGAGCCCGACCAGCCCTCCGACCCCTGATGCCCGGCAGCTCAGGTGGGGTGGGCGGGCCGGGCAGTCCCAGATCTGGGCCATGCAGGCTGGGTGCTGACTCAGCCACACCTTTGGGCTCCTCTTGTCTCCCAGGTCTCAGGATCCCGTTCCCCCCTCAGCACCTCAGATGGCCGCAGATGGCAGCAAAGTTGCAAACGGCAGCAAGCCTCCAGATGGCAGCAAAGTAGCAGAGCCCTCTGGTGAGCCCCCCTGCGCCCGCCCTCCAAAGGCCCCAGGTGCCACTTTGGGTGCTGGCATGGGATGGGGGTGTGGACAGTCTGCATTTGAGGGAAGCCGCTGGCTGAGCTGCGGCCTGTCCTTTGTCCGCAGCCCCCGGCCAGGCCCTGGTCAGTGTTGAGGCCCTCCAGGCCGCCCTGCGTGGGGTGTGCTCTGCCCCCAGCTCAGTGGACAGGTGAGCTGTCACTCCCTTCTGGGCTCCTGCTTGCAGCGGAACGCTGCCTGGTGTGTGGCGGTATCTGTGTCGGCCCTCTGCAGGCCCTTTGCGGGAATGCACATGTAGGGTGGGAGTGCACCAGGCCCTGGCCGTAGGGGGAGGCTTGTGGGAGGGGACACCCGGCACTGTGGGCCATGAGTGCCTGCTGCCCGGGGATGACCCACCCCTGGCCGTGTGTGTTCTGGAGCCCCTGTGCAGTGACCCAGCATCTACTTGGTCACCTGGAGCCCCTTCCCAGCAGCTGGAGGTGGTCAGGTGCAAGCGCTTCTGCAGATGACAGGTGAGGGCAGCCCGCGTTAAGCCACACTGCCCTTCCTCACAGTGCGACCAGAGACTCCTCTACCTCTGTCCCCCCCTCTGGGGCCCTGCAACCCCCTCAGACCAAGGATGGGGAGAAGAACCCAGAGCCCGTGGGGCTTCCTCCAAGCCAGAGGTGAGCAGTGGGGCAGTCTCGGGTGGGGGCCAGAGGAGCAGAGAGTGACTGCCAGGTGCCCTCTCCCTGACAGTGCCCAGGCCCTTGAGCTGCCTCCGATGCCCAGTGGTGTGGCCCCAGTAGCGCCCCTCTCCCCGGGCCCCCAGTGAGTGTGGCTGCAGCCTGGCGGGGGGGTGGGGAGGTGGGGCCACCTGACTCTCACGCGAGTCTTCTGTTCCAGGTAGCTGCCCGGGGGCTGTGGTGGCCTGATCCTCCATCCTCCCCGAGGACTGGGGGGCAGGGTGTGTCCCTTGTGGGTCCTTTGCTCCCCACACCTGTCCCCCGTGCTCCTCTGGACTCCTGGAGGCTGTGCCAGGGCGAGGCCCCGCCCTGCCCCGTTTGCACTGAGGAGAGAATGTGGAGCTTGCCTCCTAGAATAAAGAGTGCCGTAGAAAGAGGAGAGACGTATATCATATATGTACGAGGGGGGGCGGGGAGGCACCAGAGTACGGTGCCGTCCCAGGGGAGCTGCACTGGGTCCGGGCCCCGGCACACACTGTCCTTTGGCCGCTGCAGACGCCGCGCCCAGCCTTCTGCTCAGGTCCACCGTGGGTGGGTGACGGGCCAGTGGGCGGTGCCTTCACCCAGACCTGCACTCACCGGGCATCTAGCTCTGGGAAGCCAGCCCCCTTTACCTCTCCAGGGGCCCCATCTGATTGGCTGGGCCCTTTCCCAGGGCCTGGGGTCCTAGCCCCACTGCCAAGTGGCCTTGTCCCAGCTCCCTCCCCCATGATGGCGTGAGTGTGTGTTCGTGCGAGCTTGTTTCATATTGCAAATATAAATAAAGGAAGACGGTTTACGATTCCCGCTGGTCAGACCTTGCCTTGGGACCCTGAGGAGAGCAGCTCTGCTCTGAGCCCTGACACTCCAGGGGGCGCAGTTCGGATGGGGCGGGACTTCAGACAGAAGGGAGCTGGCAGTCCTCACCGCCATGCGTCCCCTTCTGCCCTCCCTCAGTGGCTGAGAGCTGGGGAAGTTGGGAGCCCTTGGGCTTCAGAGCCAGGGGTTCCTGCCCAAGGCGGGAGGCTGGGTGTCCCCAGGGTGAGGCAAGTCCTGGCTCCCAGTGGTTGGCACGGGCCTGTCATCGAGGTAGAGTGGAGCAGGAGCCGCCTGTGCCTGTCCCTCCAGTGTGCTGCTGCACTGGAGCCCCGCGCTGTCCCTTCCGGCTGTGGTTGCTGGGCTTACCGTGGGAGGCACGCTCACTGGCTTCGCCCTGCAGGCAAAGCTGCCAGGTTGCGATTTGCTGGGTGGCGGTTCTGGGGGTTGAGGGACCCCTTGGCTCCAGTGGGCACCTCAGGGTAGTGGGAAGGCCCCATCTCGGGCTGTTATCAGCCCTGGAGTCCACAGGACACTCAGGTTAATGTGTAACAAGCCCTCTCCACCCCGAGTCCACTAGCTGCCACCTGCAGGGCACCCATATTCCAGGCCAGCATGGACCTCAGGGAAGAGGGTCTGCCCCTGAAGACGCTCTTCAGCCAAGTGAGCCTGTAGGGTGGGGTTCAGGGCTTGGGGAACCAAGCAGCCTGGGGCCGTGGGGTCCCTGTGCTCCCAGGAGCAGGTCCTGTGGGGTTGAGACTGCCTCTTGCAGGTGGGAGGCCAGAGCAACCTGGTCCCCCAGGAGGCCAAAGGTCCTGCCCCTGTCCCTGACCAGGGCCAGCCTGGACGGCTCAAGGCAGTGCGGAGGGGAGGGTGGGCTGGGAGCCGCGAGTTGTGTGGGTAGGGTGGGGCTGGGCTGTGTGCTCAGCACCTCCTTCCGCAGCACCCCGGGGCCAGCGGGTGGCTGAGCCCTTTCCTGCTCACCTGCTGCGTCTACCTCCTCTGGGGTCCCGAGGCCCCGCCGTCCTGGCCTGCGGCCCTGCTCAAGTGCCTGCCTGTGCTCTGCCTTGCGCTGTTCCTGTGGGCCGTGCCCACTGCTGGGGGCCGCGCCCGGCTCCTCCAAGGGGGCCTGCTGTGCTCGGCCGTGGGGGACGTCTGCCTCGTGTGGCCCGCGGCCTTCCTGCGCGGTGAGTAAGGGCCCCGGAGGAAGAGGAGGGCGGAGGCCAGAGAGGGGGACAGTCAGGGTGCTGTGTGCTCCGTGTTTGGGGGAGGCCCAGAGACGGCGACAGCACTAGACAGCCCAGGACGTCTGGGGCAGTGTGACTCGTGGCTGAGGGTGTGGCCGTGCACAGGAGCGGCGAGTGCAGTCAAAGGTGCCCTCTCCCGCAGGCATGGCTGCCTTCGCTGCGGCCCACCTCCTCTACCTGCGGGCCCTCGGCCTCTTTCCTCTGCGGCCCGGCCTGCTGCTGCTCGTGCTCCTGAGCTTCGCGGCCTACCTCAGCCTCCTGCTGCCACACCTGCAGCCTGCCATGGCCGGGCCCGTGGCGGCCTATGCACTGCTCCTGGCCGGGGTGCTGTGGCGTGGCCTGGCTCGCGGTGGGAGTGCTGGCCACGGCACACTGCTCTTCGCCGTGTCTGATGTGGTGCTCGCCTGGGACAGGTTTGTGCACCCTCTGCCCCGCGGCCGCCTGGTGACCATGACCACCTACTATGCGGCCCAGGCTCTCATCACCTTATCTGCGCTCAAGAGCCCTGAGAGGAAGGCCGACTGAGAGGCCCGCTGGACGGATGAACCCCTCCTCCCGCAGCGGCCGCCTCCAGCACCGTGTGGGCCTCTTGGGTTCCAGGCCACTCTCCAGACCCTGCCCTGCCCTCTGGGCCTGTGCCTCCCGACCCGTGCCCCTCCTGCCACACCAGTCGCCTGTCTGTTTGCTGATGCTAAGTAAAGTGAGTGTGGAGAGACCAGAGCCACCAGTGTTTTGGGTCGCGGAGGGAGGGAGCCCATCCCAGAGCCCGGTGCCTGAGGATTCCTTCGCCTCCGTGTGGTGGACAAGTGGGCAGGTCTAAATCCAGGAAAGATGTTTCTGCTTGTTCTTTTGAGATATGGTCTTGCTACCTAGCCAGGCTGTTTGCACACTCACAGCAGCCCTCCTGCCTCAGCCTCCCGAGTACTGGGATTACAAGCCTGTGCTGTGCCTGGCCGAGAAAGACGTCTTTCAGGAGGCACAAATCTGTGATCACGTTGTTGGGGCTGGAGAGCTTGAAGGAGGAGCCAGGGTGGGAAGAGTGCTGGAAGAGAGGGCCGGTGTGGTGCAGAGGTCTCGGCGGCTGCTGCCCTCTGGGCCTCATCCACAAGGTTGGATTTGGCTGAGCTTCTCAAGGCGCTGTGCTGCTGGGGCGACTCTCAGTAGAGGGGAGACGGCTGCACCCTGCCCTGTCCAGGCTGTCTGCAGGCTCCCCGGGCCCTGAGGGAGCTGGGGGTTGGAAGGTGGGGTGTCAGGAGGAGGTGGGAGCACAGAGATTTCCTTGAGAAATGCGGAGAGCCGGCAAGGACAGTCTGAAGGCCGGGTTCCCCTGTCCGAAGCCTCTGCTTCCTCTTTCTGCTCACCCACTTGTCTGCCTGTGCTGGGGATGGAGCCTCAAGGTGCTCGGGCAGGCAGCCACATCCCCACCCTTCTTATCTGCAATGCGGGTCAAGGTCTTGCTGCGTTGCTCGGATGTGTCTAACTTGCTGTCCTGCTGCAGCCCCCAGGAGCAGGGACACGCTGGCTTCCCGTCCTCTGCCCGCACCCCAGACTGGCAGGCAGGACTTGGAGCAGAGTGCGGGCACGGGCAGATGCCACACGGAGCTGACTGGGCGCTTGCAGACCCGGGCGGGAGGCCTGGCCCTGTGGGTGCGAGCCGTCTGCTGGGCCCTTGCAGCGGCGGGCAATAGCCACCGTCTGAAGAGGAAAGGGCTGAGGACTAGAAATAAGGTCCACGGGAGGAGCGGCCCAGCGCGGCACCGGTGAAGCTCTGGACACCGCTGCCTGCCCAGCCCACCCCGTCCCCCAGGAAACCTGTGGAGGGTGTTAAGGACGTGGCCCACCTGCCCGGGCCCCGTAGAGCCCCCAGCCGCCTACTCGGAGCCACTGAGTCACCGGGCGTCCCCCCTCAGAGGCCTTTCCTGGAGTAGCTCTGTGCCAGGCTCCGCAGCCTGTGCCCGCCCGCCCTGCAGGTAGACCCCCGTCAGCACCGAGGACAGCGCCAGGCCGCGGGATTCCTGCCGGGCAGGGCCGGCCGGCCGGGAACAGCTACCTGCACAGTCCCTTCCTTGCTGCCCACGGGGGTCCCAGCGCTCAGCCTCCCTCCTGGTGCTGCCCGGCGAGCGCGCTGGGCCGGGGAGGGCTGAGCTGGTGAGAAGGCAGCGCCATCTGGGCCGGGGAGGGCTGAGCTGGTGAGAAGGGCCAGCCTTGGCCCTTCCTCTGCCTGATTGTCCACATGCAGCCTCAGGACTGCGGGAGGATCCACTCCAAGCACAGTGGCAGGCTGCCACCAGGGGCCGCCCTCCCCTCAGCCCTTCCCGGGGTCCACCTCTGCTTTTTTTTCTTCTTTGTGGGGTTTGGGGATTGAACCCAGGGCCTCCACAGTGACCCACGTCCTCAGCTGCTTTTTATGTTTTATTCTGAGGCAGGGTCTCACTAATTCACTGTTTCCAGGCTGGGCTCAAAAAGCTTGTGATTCTTCTGCTTCAGTCTCCTGGAGTGCTGGGATCACAGTGTGTACCGCGCCTGGCTTCAGTTTATTTCATGTCCCAGTTAGGCTCGTGGGGCACTAGTTCTTGTTCTTTCCCCCTGCATTTACCGCCTGCAGTGGGGAGAGCAGTTCTGAGGGCTTCCACTTGTCCTTGCCACCCTCCACCGTCACACCGACAATGTCTGGCATGATTTCCACCCACGTACTCAGGGTGCAGGAAGGGAGACGCACACAGCGCCCTTTTCTGAAATCCTTTGTGTTCTGGGGATGGATCCAGGGTCTTCACACCACGCTACATCTTAGCCTTTTGTAAGCTGACCAGGCTGGCGTTGAACCTGCGACCCTACTACGCCAGCCTCCCAGACACCAGGCTCACAAGGGGCTTCTAAAGTCCACTCAACCCATAGTGTGATAGTCTTAGCCTGGCTAAGATCGACCTCTGTGGAAACTCAGGACAGACTCCCTCCGCCTGAGATCCAGCTCCGGGCTGTCCTCGGCCGCCAGGCTGCATTGGTGGCTGTGCCAGTGCCCCACACATAGTCCCTCCTTGGGCACAGCACACCCAGCCTGGCTCCCAGGGGTGCTGGCTGCTCACAGATGCCTGGTCCGAGAATTGCAGTGGGCCAACCTGAGATGTTTCCCAGCAGGAAGCTCTGGGAACTCACCCTGGGGGAAGCGGGACAAAGATCTGTGACACAGTGGGGTCATGTCCTTGCGTGGCTCCACCCTCTGCCCATGGCACTCCCTCCAGGCCCTTTCTCATAAATGCAGCCCTCACCGGCAGGCCTTGTGGGAACCCCTGGCTCAGCCTCTGCTCCGGGGACATGACCTGTGGCAGGAGGGTCCCCTGTGGTCACTGGCGTCTGGTCTCTCACATAGGCTGGAGGAACTGTCGTCACTTTCTCCATGCTTCTGGGAGGGGGTGACAGGAACGTGGCTGGGGAGTTGTGCTGACCCAGGCTCCCACCAGCGTGTGGTCCAGGCTGGCCTCGGACTCATGGCACTCCTCCTGCCTCATCTTCCTGAGTGCTGGGACTGCAGGCCTGCACCACCACGCCTGGCTTAAATCTTAATTTGTACAGATGGGAAAACAGGCTCTGAGGCTGGGCATGGTGGCCCTTACCTGCTGAAGCAGGAGGACCTCTGTGAATTCAGGGTCAGCCTGGGCGACATAGTGAGACCCTGTTTTAAAAAACAAGGCAAAAAATGCTCATGTAGCTGAGCGTAGTGGCACACACCTGTAATCCCAGCACTTGGGAGGCTGAGGCAGGAGCAGCTTTGTGAGTTTAAGGCCAGCCTGGGCTACAAAGTGAGCTCAAGACCAACCTGAACTGTGTAGTGAAACCCTGTCTCCAAAATCCAAAAACAAAACAAAAACTCTCATGTAGTAAAAAATTTCAAATTAGACAAAAATATAAGAAAAAATGAAAAACATCTATCACTCCAGTGAGGATGTTCAGGGTTGCCCTGGGGTAAAGTGTGTGGACCAAGGGAACCCACACCCCAGGGCGTGTGCAAGAGGAGCAGTGGGAAGTCCAGCCCAGCCCTGGGATCACAGCCCCAGGGGCCCTGGCTTCCTTGTGACCCAGGAACTGTGCTAAAGGTCTCACAGCCCTGAGCGGCATAGTTCCCCCTCCTCCTTCTCCTTTGTCTTGGGTGGGGTGTGTCACAGAAGACCCAGTGGTGGCACTGCACAACTGGGTTCTCCCCGCCAGTGGGCCGCGGCCTCTCACTTCCTGCAGGACGGCCCGCAAGGCTGGCTTCCCTTCTGCACACTCCTTCCCACTGGGTGAAGCAGAGCTCTTGGGTGTGATGCTCAAAATGGATGGGGCCCCCTCCGCCCGATCTGTCTTGATGTTCTGCCAGGAGGATGCCCACGAGACACCGCAGGGGGGCACAGGGTAGAGATACAAGGGGTGGGCCAGGGCAGGGGAACCCTAGAGCCGGCCCAGTGGCACCCTGCCATGAGTGCTGTCCCCGCCAGGCTCCCGGCTGCAGAACCTCATGGGTGAGGTGTGTTACTGCTGATGCACCCTGTCTGAGAGCAATCCGTCCTGCAGGGACAGACAGCGGACACCTACGCACATGGTCCTCGGCATAGCTCAGACCCATGCTGCGTAGCTGCTGTTTTCTCTTTTCATTTGATCTTTAATAATAAGTGCTGCATAACTCCCTGCCGAGCCAGAGTTATTTCTCAGCCAGGAGCATGCTTCATGGACGCTTAGACACAGTCGTGCAGGACCCCAGGGGTGCACCTGCTCTTCCACCAGTGCCTCTGAGCTGGCCTTGGGCAGCCCCTGCGATCACATCAGGGACCCTGAGGTGCCCATGGCTCTGGAACTGGCAAAAGTGGGTCGCAACATCCTCTGTATGTGAGGTGGAAAGTGCTTGAAATTTACTTTAGAAACGAGATGGGGCAGGCACAGTGGTGCACACCTGTAATCCCAGCAGTCTGGAAGAGGGAGGGAGGATGATCACAAGTTGGAGCCCAGCCAAGCAAGACCCAATCTCACAAATTTGCAAAACGTGCTGGGGATGTAGCTCAGTGTGAAGGCGTTGGGCTCCATCCCCAGTACACACAGAACAAAACCAACCCAGCAGGAAACAGCAAACCCGGGAGGCAGCCCCGCTGAAGGATGGAGCAGGAGGTGATTCTGACAGTGCAGGGCGGGGCTACAGCCTGGGAGCTCACATCCCAGCTCGCAAGCAAGTGTCAGGACATCCAGAGACAGTGCAGCCAAGGGATGACCGAGGGGACGTGCCTGAGCTGCTGGAGACCCTCACAGGCCAGGGGCCTTGTGCTGCCACCATGTCACAGGTTCCTCAGCATGCACTTCCCAGGGCTTGGCACCCTTCTTTCCAGGGGACCCAGCTGAGTCACCCTGAGCTTGATTCGCCTCAGGTCAGGACTGTGGCCAAGTGGCTGTGTAAATACAAACGCACACAAACGACAGCCTCCGGGGCTCCAAGCTAGTGGCCAACCCAGGGTGCCTCACATGGGAGCCCAGTGCTGCCGGAGGAGGAGGAGGAGCTGTGGGGCTCAGGGCAGACGCACCTGGCGGGGAGATGGTGCGCACAGAGGCCTGGAGGCAGCAAGTCCCGGCTCATCTGTGACCACCACGGACCTGCAGCGCACAGAGGAGCCCACCGTGCCAGGCTGGTCTCCTTGCCCTGTCTGCCCTGAGGGAAGAGGGCCCCCTCCGCTGTCCCCACGATGCTCCTCAGGGTCATGTGGCTGTTGGCACATCGGCCACGAATGTGTCTGGGATTCACCACAAAGCAGGGTGAGCTGGGGCTGAGCTTCCAGGTGCACCCGGAGACAGCAGGGCCGGGCGGTGTCCGGCAGCAGGGAGGTGAAGAAGTACAAGGGACAGGGCAGGGCCGGAGCTGGGCTCTCACGCTGGGCCTGCACTTCCTCCTCCTCCCCTTCCTGCCTGGGCTCTGGCCACACCATGGGCTGGGAAAGGGGAAATTCTTGAGTATAAAGTCCAGCAGGTGGAGGGACCAGGCTGGGACTCCTGTGTCACTTGCAGTGACAGGACACATGGACCGGGTTGCCGTGGGCCTCGGGGTCTGGGGGAGCCTGGTGCTACTGGTAAGTCCTCCCTGCCCGGGGCAGCCGGGTCCCAAGGGAGCGGGAGCTGGGGCTCAGACTCCACAGTCAGAAGATGAAGGATGGGGCTCCTTGAACTCAGAACCAAGAGGAAGTGGGAGCTGGTTATGCCCTGGAGAAGCAAGGGGGATCCCGGTTTGGGAGGACTGTGGAGAGTCTGATACCCAGGCTTAGATAGCACAGTGACAGTGGAGCCGGAACTGCCCCTCAGGCAAGACGCAGAGAGCTCCAGAGTCACATTACAGTGCCTTTCTCCCTCTGAGGGCCAGGGCTGTTCCCTCAGACCGGGGATCCGGGCCTGGCCTGCCCCCTCAGACCCTGGCATCCGGGGCCAGCCTCCCCGCTCAGACTTGGGATACAGTCCTGGCCTCCCCCCTCATACCCTGGGGTCCGGGCCTGGCCTCCCCTCTCAGAAAGGGGTTTCAGATCTAGCCTCCTCCCTAAAACCTGGGGATCTCCTTCCTCACATCCAGGGCTCCAGGCCCAGCCCTTCTTTCTGACCCTGGTATCTGGATCCAGCCTTCAGTTTCATTTTCTTCATTATCTTCTGACTTTATGGTTACTTCCCCACCCCCAGCATTGCAAGCCTGTAGGTTTAAAAAATTAAAACCATTACGTTTATCTTTGGCCTTATCAGTAGAGCCAATGTCAGCTTCTGCGTCCCTGAAACAACACCCCTACCATACTTGACCTTGTTCCCTGCTGGAAGAACACGGATATTGGGGCGACCTTTGTCACAGCTCAGCCCTGAGCTACCCTCACCAGGGTGACTGTCAGGCAGGGCTGGGAGTGTCCTGGGCAGCCACCAGGCCCACGGTCACTCCTGGGTCCACGGGAGCCTGAGCTCTAACTCCTTCCCTGGCTCTTTCTAGGGTCTGTGCAGCTGGACAGTGGGCGGGGCAGCCGGTGAGTGACCCCTCAGAACCGTGGGCCGCACACACTGGGGCCTCTTGGCCTCTCCATGAAAGCCTCCCACCCAGGAGAGGGGGTTGGAGAAGAGTGAACCGAGTGAGGTGCTGGGGGCGGGGGGCGGGAGGCAGAGGAATGGTGGGCACTGGCTGACAGGGACCCTCATCCCAACCCCCAATCAGTGAGAGACCTGCGAGTGCACGCTCAGACCAACAGCTCCATCAGCCTGCGCTGGGAGGAGCCCCAGGGCTCGGACTCCCAGAACCTCACCTACTGGGTCCTGTGGGCTGGAGAGGGCGACACAGGTGACCCCCGGAAGACCACCGACACCAGTGTCACCGTGGAGGGACTGCGCCCTGGGTCCTCATATGTATTTTCTGTGTGGGTGGAAAGAGACGGAGTCAACAGCACCGCGGAGACTCTCAATGCTTCTACAGGTGAGGGGCAGCCAGTATTTTAGGAGGGTGTTATATAATTTCCATGCGTTTATGAAGTTCTTGTCATTTCTTTTGCCATTGGTTTCCAATTGTACTGCACTCTAGGCTGATGATATGCATGGAATAATTTTAATTCTTTTGCATTTACTTAAGCATGTTCTATGGGCTAGTATGTGGTCTATTTTGGAAATCATCCCATGTGCAGTCGAGAAGAATGTGTATCCTGATGTGAGGTGGAACACTCTGTCAACATCTACTAAGTTGATTTGCTCAAAAGTTGGGTTCAGTTTTAATGTTTCATTCTTGTTTTTTTTTTTTTTTTGGTACTAGGAATCAAACTCAGGACCTTGCACATGCCAGGCCAGCATTTGTGCTGCTGAGCTATATCCCTGGCCCTTAATATTTCATTCTTGATTCTTTTGTCTAGTTGATCTGTCTATTTGTGACAGTGGGGTATTGAAATCCCCCAATACAATTGTATTAGTGCTTATTTGATTTTTGTTTTATATTGTTGGGTGCATTGGTATTTGTGGGTTTTTTTTTGTTGTTGTTATTTGTTTTTCGTCTTTTTGAGATAGGGCCTTGCTATGGAATTCAGGCTGGCCTTCAACTCACTTTGTAGACTAGGCTGGCCTCGAACTCACAGCTATCCTCCTACTTCAGCCTCCTAAGTGCTGGGATTACATGTGAGTGTCACCGTGCCTGGCTACATTGGTATTTGTTACATAGATATTTATGATTATTATCTCTTCCTCTTGGATTGTCCCCTTTACAATGGTGTAGTGATCTTTTTTATATCTCTTAATCAGTCTTGGCTTGAAATCCACCTTGTCTGCAAGTAGAATATCTACCGCTGCTTTTTTTCGAGGTTCCTGTCACAAGGAGTATTGTTTTCCATCCTTTGACTTTCAGTCTGTGAATACCTTTTTGAGTTACATGTGTTTCTTCTATGCAACATATTGTTGGATCTTGCTTTTTGATCCATTCTACCATCTGTGTCTTTTGACTGGTGAATTGAGACCATTAACCTTGATGGTTATAACTGATATGTATTGTCTTCTCCTCGTCCTGTTGTTTTCCTGTTGCGGGCACCCTTATTTTCCCCCCTCTATTTAGTTGTTTGCCTTGCCTGGTGGATTTCTCCTGTTGGTGTTCATGGAGTTGTACTCCTTGTTTTCTCTTTCTAGAATGTCCTTCACAATGTTTTGGAGTGCTGGTTTGATGGTCATGAATTTCTTCAGGTGCTATTTGTCATGGAAATACCTTATTTCTCCATCAGTCTGATAGTTTGGTGGAGTATATCAATCTGGGTTGAAGGTTGTTTTCTTTTGGGGTTTGAAATACTTCACTCCAAACTCTCCTTGACTTGAGGGTTTGTGCTGAGCAGTCAGCTGTGATTCTAATGGGCTTTCCTTTATAGGTGATTTGTTTCTTTTCTGTAACAGCTTTTAATGTTCTGTTCTTGTGTTGAATTTCTGGAATCTTGACTATAATATGCCTGGCTGTAGATTTTTTTGATCATGGCTAATTGGAATTCTATATGCCTCAGTTATTGTATGTCAAATTCTTTCTACCAGGGAAGTTTTCTGCCATGACATCTGTGAACAGGTTTTTATATCATTTGTGCTATCTCCTGCCTTTTCATTGACTCCAATCAATCTTATCTTATTCTTCTTTGCTTCGTATAGCAGCTGCTGGACTGATTTCTCATGGTCCCTTGCTATTTTTAAGAAATCTTTATTTTCGTGATTGCTAACTGCAAGTCTATCTTCTTCTTTTTTTTTTTTTTTTTTTTTTTTTCCAGTACTGGGAATCGAACTCATGAGCTTGCGCTTGCCAGGCAGGTGCCGTGCTGCTGAGCTAAATCCCCAGCCCCCTGCAAGTCTATCTTCTGAGATCCTGTGTCTGAGATCCTGTCCTCACATTGGCTTATTCCACTGCAGATACTTTCAATGGAATTTTTAGTCTCCTGGATATCTGCTTGAATCTGTGTTATGGATTTTGCTTCTTTCCTATGTTGGGCGCTCATGGCTTCCATCATTTTCTTAAACTCTATTTTTTTAATCTGTATCTGCTCTAGAGTCACTGAGCATGTTTTTCATTGTGATGACCATCTCTGCAGTTATCTGAGAAATTATTTCTGATTTGATTTTTTTCTAGAGGCTTAGTCAATTGTTTTGTTGTTACCACTTCAGAGAGGCCAGGTGGGTGGCTTTTGTATTGTTCCACCTCATTGCTTCCCAGGTTTGCCTTTGGTGAACTGGATGTCTGGTGTTGCATCTTGTTTAAGTGTCTTCTCATTTTCTTTTCTTTTGTTTAATTCCTTGGGTGATGCTTATAAATTGCCTGTGGTGGGTTGCTTTGTTGCTAGTATTTAGAACCTTGAGGAAATGACTGCTTCTCTGAGGCATCTTCCAGGTGTAGTTGGTTTTCGGATTTTGAGTCTGTTTCAAGATCCCACCTCTTTAATTTATTGAGGATGAGAAGTTGCTGCCTGCTTGGCACCACCCCTGGTTCTTTGGCACTGGCCCATAGTATTTTCTATGACCTTTAGTCAATCTCAGTCTTGGAATACCAGGAAGAACAGCTCGTTAGAACAATTATGTCACTTTGGCTAAAGTGGTACAATTGACAGTAAACATAGCATCAGATACACCCTAGGAAATTACACCGTAGTAACCTCTAATTTTGCAACCTTTAACTATAAGAACTAGATTTGTGGTTATATAACAAAATCTAAAACAAACCAGACAATTGTATGCAATAAATAAGCCCTCAATATGTCAATTTCACCCTCAGGAGAGAAAATTTAAAAAGGTTTAGGGGAAAAAGAGAGAAACAGAAGAAGAGGAAGAGACTAGAAGCAAGGCTGGAGGAAAAGGGGGACCACACAGACTTTGGGAAACTGGTGCTGAAGACAGGAGGGAAAGAGAGATGGAAGAGGTAAAAAGAGAACAGGACAGAAAAGCAACCACAAAAACAAAAAAAACACATTCACACTCATATAAAAACAAGATCAAACAATGAAGAGGAAAACAAAAAAGAAAAGAGGGTAAAAAATGTCCACTTCCAGGTTTGTCTCTGCTGTCTCTGCCAGAGAATGTGTGGAGACAGAGTCTGGATCCATGTTGATTTTTCCCAGCAGGCCAGCGGTAGCTTTACGTTGGGGTAGTGGATCATCTCAGTGAGCTGCACCTTTGTTTCCCCTGAAGTTCGGGCTGGCTTGTGGCTGGGAGGCTGGGACCTGACCCGCTCAGCCTGCTGCAGTCAGGGCGCCTTCTGCGGCCTCACCTGGGCTGGGAGCTGCCACGTGGAGCCAGCAGCTGCCCTGAGTTCCCAGCTCAGTTGGCCCCTCTCCAAGATGGGCCATGGCTAAGTGCCCTCCCCGCTGGAACAGCTAGTCTTGCAGCACTCACCCCCAGCCAGCACGGTCCTCCACGTCCACTGCGCCTTCCGCTACTGCCTCTCGTGGAGGCCTCTGGGGTTGCCAGCAGTCACCATGTATTTGCCCCTCCCTCCCATGCAGTGAGTCCCGACTCGGGGAGCAGGTGCAGCCTGATACCCACTTCTTCTTTGCTGAGCCTCTTTCTGCACTCTCCCCGTGGACTTTCTCCACTCTCAGATCCTTCCTGGACTACGGGGCCCACTTTTCTCCCTCTCTTCCTCTCTTTGCTGTATTCAGTATCTGGACAGCAAATCTCAGAGAGGCTCCTCACCACTCCACCATCTTCCCAGAGGTCTAGGTGAGAGTCAGCAGCCAGTGTTTTAACCTCTTCAGGTCCATGGAACTGGGGATTCACTCCAAGGCCTTCACGCTGAGCTACATCCCCAGCCCGTGTTTGTTTTTGTTTGTTTGTTTGGTTTAAGATAACGTTTTGCTGAATTCCCCTAGCAGAAATTGAAGTTTTGATCCTCCTTTCTCAGCCTCCTAGAGTTCTGGGCTTAGGGGTTGCCCCACCACACTTGGCTCTTACTCTCTCCTTTGTGGGGATTTGTGTGGGGTGCTTGAAAACAGACAAGTGTGGCAGATTCTGTGATTCAATAGAAATATACAGAGCCCCACATGGAAACTTCAGTTTTCTATTAGCCACATAAAAATGTAGAAAGAACCCCGGCCGAAATGAGTCATCACAGGGTATATCACGTAGTGTGAGAGATGTAAAACACTTCCTTCTTAATGGGTAATTTATGTAGAAAGGATGAATGGGGTTGTGTTTCCAACTTCATCCTTACTGTGCCTACCTCATGGGTCAGTACTGTCAGCATGTGCGGGCCTGGAACGAGCCGCTCACAGTGCTCCACAGTCCCGTGGGGCCTGTGCCACCGAGGCGCACGCTGCGGGTCTCAGCATCCCATGTCCTCCTTCTGGGTCTGAGAGCTGGGGAAGGGCAGGAAAATGTGAGGGCCAGGAGCAGACCTGATTTCCCCTCTGTCCCTGTGCTCAGCCCCCAACGCAGTGACCAACCTGCGAGTGCACGCTCAGACCAACAGCTCCATCAGCCTGCGCTGGGAGGAGCCCCAGGGCTCGGACTCCCAGAACCTCACCTACTGGGTCCTG